TCTAATGCTCATTGGGGGCTTGGTAGTTCGTGCAAAAAAGGTGCCAGGCAAGCTCCAGCTGTTAGCAGGTACACTACTGATGTGGGACCTCTGGGCACTCTGGAAAAAAAATGCAAACTGAATTCACTGCATCAGGTGATGTGGCTCTATTAGCAGGGAAGATATCTTTTCAAACCCGTGTTTTAAGCCTGCAGTGTGTATGCAATATTAGACAGATGTCCTCTGCGTGCTCTTGTTTGTGTTGAGCAGAGGAAGGAATCCCAGGGCAAGAGTTCTTCAGTCCTCCTTGAAATTGATATCAGCTCTGTCTCCTTACTTAGTCATAAAGAAATGCTTGGTTTGTCAGGAACTTGGGGCTTAAATTATTGAAAGAGTTTTGAAGACCTTGATAATGTACTTGATCAATATTAATAAAACACAGTATGTTTATCCTCATGATGACAGGAGGCTCCTTGGCCTCTACTCATGCTACTGAGCAGCATCATGATGTATTTATTCTACACCAGCATAAACAGTGTTTTCAGATAGCTTCACCACTTGAGCAAAAAGTATTTTGAAAGCAGAAGCTAAAGTGTTCAGAAACATCCTTTCATTCATTTGAAACCTGCCGCTGGTCGTTTCATGTCATGTCAGTATAATCTAAATATCCTGAGCACAGAATGCTAATGGACAGCTTGGTGCCAATGTTCCAGACTCCTGATGCTGATTATGAAGTTGGCTGACCTGAACGAGCTGTTCTCCAAGTTCTCTGTGGGTTAAGAAGGCTTTGGGTAAGCACTGGAACTGCTGTAAAAGCAGCTCATGAAAGAGGAGAATGAAGAGAAAGCAGAGAACTCTGTTTCTCAGAACTCACAGTGTGGGCCAGTTGGTAATTCAGAGCCTTCTGTCAGAGGTGCTGCCTACCTGGCTGATCTTGTGAGGACACCACATGCATGGCAGTGCCAGCTTTCTCTCTGCTGTTATCTGCTCTGTCTAGTTGTGTCACATCCTCTGGAATTTGTCTTCACCTTGAACTGCCTTTGTGTGTAGGAATCTCTTACATTCTCAGTGCATATTTCTAGACTTTCCAGGTTTGCTGCAGGGCTGGAATGTGATATTTTGGGCAGGAAAATATATTAGTAAGAATTAAAACTTTTAAATTTAATGCAGTGACAAATTGAACTAGACTGCTAGACAGCAAAGAACCAAAAGGAAATAAATCCCAGCAGTTGCTTGTTTGTACTACAATAGTTTGTACCAATTGTATTTATTGCTACCAAGCTTATAACCAGATGGGATCAATTTGGTCAAATCATTTATTTCATAATCCAAATGGAGACACAAGGTTGTGCCTTGGATGAATTTGCTATATGAACCCATACAGCTCTGCAGCTAGTGAGGTGTCTCTGTTTGTCTTGTATGTTTTCCTAGTTTCTTTCAAACCACTTCCCCAGATGCCACATTTTTAATGGAGGAGGGTGGAAAAGCTTAAATCAGCAGTGTGAGTTCGTTATGAACACCTAAGGACCTTGGAGAGACGATTCTGTGGAGAGGGAGCAACCGTCTGCTGTTGGGGAATCCCCCATCACTTTGCACAGGGCCACTGGATGTGCACACACCTGCTACATACCCATTTTGTGAAAAGAAGGAACATGCAGTTATGTTTGGAGCTGAAGTGGATGAGGATTGCTGATAACAGCAGTTGCATTTTCCTACAGATATGTTAGCCCCAGATCACTGGCTGAGCATGCAAAGACAGTACCTACTCACAGCCTCCAGTCCTTTGCATCATCCTCCCCAGGTGTTCTTCCTCCTGACAGTGTGTTTCGAAGAGCGTGTGTAGTAGTCCTTTCTGTAGGAAAAGTAGCTCTGCAACCTGTTGGAGTGCTGCTTGGAGTCCCAGCAGAGTTATCAAGGACAATTTCCTCTCTCCTGACCCTCCAGCCCTTCCCCAGGGGCAGCCAGGGAGGTGCTGGACCTCTATTCTCCTGCTAACAATGGCTGGGCTCTGGCAATTCTCTTTTGGGTGACAGCCATTCTCTCAAAGGAACATTTTCGTGATTAGGCCAGCCTAATCTAGTCAAAGTTTGTTGCTTTAAAATATGCAGCGTGGATTCCTCACATGTTATAAATTGTCATGGTGGTATCCAAGTCACATTGCTGATCTGGGCAATCTATTCCAAGTGGTGCCCCTTGGGTTTGTCTCCTTGATTTACAAGTGTTCTGTGGGTTTTAGTCCTGACCTTCAGGAGTTATAGAGCTTTGATTTCACCATCAGCCTGCTTTAGCAGCAGTTGTCTTTGTGACTGGGAAAACTCGCCGCTGCTCTGTGAACATGCCCAGTTGCCACCATCCTGGGAGCATCTGCCAACAGAAATAGTACAAACCAGCAAGGGGAAGGAGTCAGTCCCTCTTGCCAAACACTCTAGGTCACCTTTCTCATCCTTTCACTTTCGATGGATTCATGGCTTCTCTATCAGTTCGTGATTTCATTTCTAGTTAGCCTTCTGCAGCAGCTAAAGCTGAAAATAATTGATGGTCTTCCATTATTTCATTGGGCTTTGAAACCAGCCCTGCTTTAGGACTGGATCCTATTTTCAGGAACCAGGCTGAGCTATATGTGGGTGTTGGAGAACAGAGAGACACTTGGCTCCAGTACCAGGCACTGCTGCCGGAAAAGACTTTGGGGTTTCAAAGTGCCTTCCAGCTTGCAGGGAAAGGAGAAATGACACCAGAGCCTGTAAGGTGGGGCAGCCCTACCTTTACCCATCTGGGGGACGTGGAGGGACTCCCAGGGCATAGGACAGAAATGCTTGCTGAGTTCAGATAAGTGGAGGAGCATCCTAATGCACTGCCTTGACCCAGGCAGAATCACAACTTCCTTTACTTAGGAATCTCCATTTTGTTTTGGGAAAGTTTGTTCCTCCAAGCTATTATTTTGGCTGTCTGCATTATTTCTGTTAGGTTTGTGTTTGGATTTGGGGGATCAGAGGGGGAAAAAAAAAGGCAGTTATTCACTGAGCCCCAACTCCTATGTAGCTGCTTTTTTCTTTAAAGGGAGTGAAGTCATATTTATGTGCAGAGGTAACCCAGAAATGTGAGCTTCTGCCAAGACATCTGTTTACCCAGAGCTTAAGGGAGGTGATGTTTATGTGTGTCCAAAGCTTGAGCAACCACCTTATGTTAGAAGAAAGGTAGCTAATGTTTCAGCCCTGATCCTAGGAAGAGAAAATCTCTTCATTAGCAGAACGAGTGTCCCTTGCCATCCCGACGTGCCTGGCAGCACACACAGCTCAGCCTTGTTGCTGAAAGTAATAGTTTGAGTTTCTGTTATGCTGTCCAGCTGAAATGGCAGAGTAATTTAAAAACACCTTTTGAACTGTTTCCCTTCCATTCTGGTCAGCTTGTTTGGTATGAGTATCTTTGTTTAAAAGAAAGAAAGAGAAATCAAAACAAATGAGAGTACTATGCAGAAGCTGCCCCGGAAGCGTGAACAAGGCTGTTGACTTTCTGGCTCCGTCCTCTGTTTTATAACCACAAGAACTTTGTTCCTTTTAACCACTATTTTCCTTGATATATGGCAGCAGTGTAATAGGAAATACACTGCATTGGCTGAACAGCCAGAGGCCTTCAGAAATTATTTGTTAGAAATATGCTTTGCTTTACTTGAGTTATATTATTTCATTAGTGAATAAGAGGAAAATGACATCTAACCCTGATTATAGTTGTTTTCGTTATAGCTTTGTTGGTGTTTTACTACTGCTGTAATCAGTTCCTTGAAGATTGATGTGTTCAAACAGTGTCTTTCTTGTATTGCTATTATCTGTGCTACTATTTTATTTGTCCAGTACTTCAAAACTGGGCTAAAAAATCAGTGATGTTCTCCTTGCCTTACCACTGTCTCTAGATCATTGTAATTTAGCATCAAAGACATTGAGCTTGATTTTTCAGCTAGCAACTGACAGATGCAAATGAGTGATTGACAGTTCTGTTTCACCACCAAGATTCTGTCACATTCTTTAATGAAACTGTTAGAATTAAGGAATTCTTCAAAAGGAGAAGAAATCCCTGGTGATCATTACTTGCTCTGTTTATGGTTGGACTACACGATCTTAGTTGTCTCTTCCAGCCTTACTGATTCTGTGAGTGGCCGTGGTGGTGATGAGTTAATGTTGGACTACATGATGTTAGATGTCTGTTCCAACCTTAATGATTCTATGATTCTTTGAAATCACCCCACGGGGTCAGGCAGGAAATAATTATCTCAGATCTTCACCTGGTCAGGAACATGCCCACATTTACTACTGAGGTGAACAGAAATACTGGGACTGTGAAGGCCATTTCCTCTGAACACCAGGGCTTTGAAGAATCATTACACAGCAACTCTGAGGCCAAACCGTTAACTCTACTCCCTTGCTGACCTCAGCTTCTCAAACTCTGCTCTCAGCATAAACAACTCCAGGAAAAGCAACTTGCTCAACAGGAGTTTGTGTTCACCAATACAGCATCTGCCCTGGCACTCATTGTTTCCTTTTTGGTGAATGGAAAGGATGCTTTGCTGGGAGCTTTTGCCTGGAAAAGTCAGTGTTCTGGGCACTTGAGATGTGTAAACTACTCCATACTTAAATATGGCAAATTAATTTCCAGCTCCTAATGTCAAGCTGGTTTTCCTAGCTCATCTACGTGACCCTCAGTCTGCAGATCCCACAAAGGCAAAGCTGTCATTTAGGAAGTGGGTTTTCTGTAGGGGAAGTAAGAGTGGATTTCATAACTTCAGTGCTCACACACTGAAGCTGTGTAGCTGCAGATAGTTGGAAAGCACTGAGGTTACAGTCTGAAAAATGGCATGAGAATCTTCAGATCATTTTCCTTATTTCTCCTTCCCTCCTCCACCCCAAAGGCTGAAAGTGATAAAGATTTCTGTGTTTTTTTTTTCAGTACTATTCAGATTAAAAGAAACACTTCAGCTACGTGCTGTAGAGCACTCATTGAAAAGAGAATAGCACTTAGTGCAGGGAACATTCAACAAATAGACTTTTTACTACAGCAGAAAGCTTTAATGGTAGGAATATGTTTGAAATCAGAGTAGGAAGCAAAAAGGTGAAATTTTGAACTATATAACAGAAAAACGATATTCCAAAGAGATTTTTCAAATAAGTATGACAGTGTTATAGGGATTGGAAGGGACCTCTGGACGTCATCTAGTCCAACCCCCCTTCTGAAGCAGGTTCCCTACAGTAGATTGTGGTATCAACATAAAACGCCACCATTTTCTATGAAAATAAACTCAATATATCAAAGTAACTATTTTCATTTTGAATTGACATTTTGAAATGTAAAACACTTCATTTTGAGATGCTGGCTTTGCTCCAAAGCTTTCTCAATAGGAAAATTCAATAAAAATTGATGTTTTCCTTTGGAAAAACAACAGTTCAACCTAACCTATGTTCTCTGAGGGAACTTCTTTTATTATAGAAACTTCACCTACTCTTAGGTGGGATACAACAAGCTGCCTTTCCTGCTTGCTTTAGTATCTGTGTAAATACTTCTGTCTTCCTATGGTATTAGCATTTGGAAATGATTTTGTTTCCAGAGTTGCAAGTATGTTTGAGAGGAGTAATGTTCAGATGCTCTTGTGGAATTTTTACTCTTTTTCCTTCCTTCTTCGTGCCTTAAATCAAAGTTCATTGCAAAGCACATGTCTGTGCCTTGCCGCTCTTAAAATGAGCTGCTGCATGGATTTCAAAAGGGAAGAAGGGAACCGAACCTCCAGATGATAAATACAAGTAGCGCCTAGTGGAAAAAGTCAAGGGGGGGAAGAGGAAATAGCTGTGAAAACACTTTTTGAACAAATAGCTGTGCTTTAACTTTGTGTTGCAGAGTTGCCTGGATACACTGGAAGAGCAGGGATCTGTCTATATGTATTAGCTAGTTTAGTGTTTACTGCTGGAACTCGGAATGTAACTCCAGGCACTATTTACAAATGTTTGGGATGAAGTAGTTCCAGAAAACCAAACAAAGAGTGGAAGGAGGGAAATCATCCCCAAACTCTCTGTTTCTGTTTTCTCCATCATGTTGCTATGCATAATCTAAAAGAGTTGGTAGGTAGCAGCTTATACAAGCTGAGGTGGAAGAAGGGGAAGATTTACGGTGGGTGTTGTGAACCTAGAATAGATGTGCACGGAAAGGTCTGTGCAGGAGGCACCTGGAGGCACACGTGCCTGTTGGATGTCCTCCATCCTCTCTAAAAAGGGATCTCCTAATCAATCAGGAATGCAGATAATGAAATGTTTTGGAGGAAGGGAACAGTCCTTTCCCAGCTCTGATCTGGGGTGCTGTTCTCTTTGATGGATGCTCGGAATCCTTTTAGTTATGTTCTGCTCTGCGATTGCATCTAACTGTGGAGAGGAAGGGAGGTATTTCTGAAATGAGATACTCTTTTTGATCTTGGCATCGTTTTTCTTGTGCTTGGAATTGCTCCACTTAATGTTTCGTTTAATCTGTTTTTATTGACTGATCTTCCTTGGTGCGAAAAGGGACATGTTCTTTCACCTAGCTCTTAAATTCACACTTGAATTGAGACTTTTTTTCAGTGCTGATACACTTGAAAAATGTCAGGATCATGTAGAAGCCTCACAATCGGTTCTGTGCTATATATCATAGCCACGTGCAACTTCCGAGTGAGCAGAACCACACAGCAGATGAATTCCTCATGCTCCGAAGCCACAGATCCCCATCCAGCCAGGATGAATCACCAGCAGCTTTCTTCCTGCAGTGATGCGTGCTCACTGATTGCTTTGCTGCAGCTTCTGGAATTCTCTGGGAAATATTATTGGTAGTCAAGTCAGTGAAGAGCCAGTGAGATGTTTACCTCTGACAGGAGAGCACATGCTGCAAAAAGTAAACCTCATCAACGTTGTCTTTGTGGTGGCAGCCAAAGCAGGAAGATGTTTTTTGTTTGTTTAAGCATGCCTCACCTACATACCTTCAGCATATCTGTGCCTGCCTGTGCTGCAGACTGCAGCCTCACGTGGAGGTGCCCAGGTTGGCCAGGCATGGCACGGAGCTCACCGTGACCTCATCTACCCCACACCGATGGCTGCAGCCCAGCATCCTGCAGGGCTTTGGTGGCTCCCACACCAGTTGGCCCTGGGCTTCTGGTATGCAGCGTCACAGGTAAAGTGACAGCGCCTTGGTGGGCAGGGTTCAGTTGGCAGACGCTTATGGGGTGGGTGCAATTATCCTAACAAAAGCCAATGTTCAGTGGTAGGCATTAATGCTGCAGGGCATGGAAATGAACGCAGAGGATGGGATGGTTTCAACAGATCAATACAAAGCACAGCCTTGATATCACCAGATGCACTTATACTGTGATGCCATGCTGCCAGGGATGTGTTCTGGCACCTGATATCTCGGCTGATTGCACTGGTAATTAAGTGTTTCTATTTTCATTTCATTGTGGATGTTTGTGGCATGCGCTACCCCAGCACTAGGAAAGGTCATCAAATAATTAAACGTAATACACTACAGAAAGCATTTCATTAATTTTTGCAGGGACACTGAAACATTATAATTGGTTTTCCTTCCACAGTGACTTAGTGTTTGGACACAGGAGGTAAGGGCACTGGCAACGCAGGTTTAAAAGGCAGGTTAGGGAAATAATCAAGAGAAAGGTGAGCTGCTATGAATGGAGCACGGAGCTCCTGTTCAATACCTGGGGAATTGCTTTAGTCAGATTCCACTCTTCAGTTTAATTCTCTGCTTTCATCTAAACATTCTTTTCTATATCAACTGAAATGTTTGCCTCCCTCGCAGTTCACATCACCTCAAGAGCAAAATCACCCAGAGAAATCTTCAGCCTCAGCCAAGGCAGAAGGAAAGGAAAAAAGAGGGGGAAGAAACTTAAAATAGAGAATAAAAAAGGAATGTGTTTGGGGAAACTCAGGAGAGTGTTCTGTGCGTTAGCCAGTGAATCTTAAACAATATTAACTTCTTAGCAACAATGATTCTGTTTTGTTTAACTAACAAAGGATACTGTAAGCAGATACATGCGTCTGGGACAGACAAGGTTTGCGTTGGACAGTTCTTTTATTGGCCTGGCTTTTGAAATTAACTCAAATTTAGCAGTAAGACAGGAATTATGCATATTTTTCTCTGAAGCAGAGGTTAGAGGTAAAGCTCCCAGAGTTTTTCCAGTTCCTTGCTAAATTTAAATCTTAACGGAATGGGTCACTGCTCGTCGTCTGTGTTCATGCCAGTTCCAATGGAGTGGGAATGAAAAGGAGGAATGAAACCTGTGTCTTCCTCTCAACAGGAGTGTGATGCAAATGCTTCCATTTCTTTTACATCTAAGCATGTGAGAGGAAGCTGAAATATGCCCTTATGTTGATGGACAACCTGGTTCTTCTTGCCAGTGAAATCCTGTTCTACCAAAAAGGAGGAAAAAAGTCATCTTTCTGTGCTCACCAGTGTAAATGAGTGGAAGACGTTTTGTAGAAATGAGCTAAATGAAGTTAAAGTTATGTTAAATAAAGCTGAGGAGACAGAACTTGAGAGTCTAACCTTAGTTATTGAAGAGCTGTGTTAAATTCCTGGGTTAGGTACAAGGATGTGCCTCTCATGGGAAAACACCTCTTAGCCTGCCAGTCCGAGGGGTGAGAATTCTCAAAACAGAGAATTTCTTTGCTGTCTGTGTGCCACACACTCAAATTTTACTGAGTCACACCTGGACCAACCCCAAAAGTTCCAAAACTGAGCTGATGCCATCCCAACCCTGGAAAACCACACTCCTCCCATAATCCCAGCATGGATTTCCACGAAATCCTAAATCCCTGTTTGTCTTGAACCTTCAACATGATGTTGATTTGTGTTCTGCTGACATGAAAGCCAGTTGGATGGGAGAGCATCAGAAGATGTCTGACAGAACATCAGCTCCTGAGGCACTGCCAAAGCACCCAGGCAGGCACTGGGCACACTCACTGTTTGCTGAAATACATCTAAATGGTTTATATTAATGTATCTCACAAGATTTTTGTGAGGATTAGTTAATATTTGCAAGGTGTTCGTGGACAGGCAGCAAATTAAATATTGTGAGCCAGTTCCTTCCTACTTACCTCGCATGACCTGAGAAAGGATTCTGGTTTTCCTCTCCACTCTACGCATCCTAATACAGCAACCTTCTGTTTGGCTTCTCCTATCTTCAGCAGCTGGACAGGAATGACAGTGCTTCAGCTCTGTTCTTCATGGAGATTTGTCTTTTTAAAGGTGGAGGAAGGGAAGCCTGTGCAGAAGGAAGTGTGCAATGTAGTTTAGGCCCTGAAACAAGCAGAAAATTGCCATGCACGGAAAAATGGAACAAAGGAAGATGGGAGCTCACCTCTCCAAAAGGTGCATTTCTGAGCACAGCTATAAAGCTCAAGCAACCTTCCTAGCCTAGGTTAGGGGCTTCTGCTTCAGAGGGGTAGAAGGGCTTGTGTGCCTAAACGTGTTTGCTTTTCCATATGTATTAACTGATATGCTATAGTTGTTATTGTTCCTTGTAAGAGTGTGGTATTTCTGGTAGTTTGTGAAATAACTATGTTGATAATGTCAGTGAAACTGAGTCATTGAAGAGACCTGCTGAGAAGGGTTTTCAACAGGGCTTTTATTTCCTCATATGCTGTATGATGCAGTGTCGAAGGGTGAATTTGCTCCCTGGTATTGATCACAATTGATTTGTAACCCACCACATAAAGATTTTTACCAGTCCTTATATTTTTTTCTTTGTACAAAGTTAAATGCTTCTTCCGATTAACCTTCTTGAACTGAGTTGAGCTGGATCGGGATTTCAGCCTGGTATCTCCCCCCAGTCAACACTTGCCTTACTGAATGAAGTGAAGGAACTGAAAAAGTACTGTCTGATTCAAATCATCACCTACAGAAATGATAATGAAGAATATGCAGTGATGTTTCTATGGCTCTTAAGCCTATTCCTGACATACATCAGCCACCAGTGTTTCTTTCTTGGGGAGTATATTTCAGACCAGCATATTTCTATACTACGCCATTTTCTTGCTGGACAACAACGGTATTTCTTACTTCTTTTTTTCCTTTCTTTTTAAACTCCCAGAGCTTGACTCCACTTATTAAATTTTGCAAATTCTTCTTTCATAGCAGCTTTGCTTAGCAAACTCTTGCCAGCCTTTCTACTCCTCCTCCTGTCCATCTGCCCATGCCATTCACATTTAGTCCTTTATGTCTTTCCTTATAAATCCTTGAACCTTTGAGTTTCTTTTTACCCTTTGGCTGTATTTCTGGTCTGTGACATCCTGGAAGAAAAACTGAAAGTGGAGGTGTGTCTGCCTCTGTAACAAACTTTTAGTTTCTTTAAGTTCTGCTTTCCTTAATACAGTATTCTAGTTCCAACTTTTATCTAATTTTCTCTCTACAGACTGTTTAACATCAGTGGTTTGCAATGATTCTGCTATAAAAATATCTTTCATGTTCTTCCCCTTCTCCCAAACATTTGTTTGCACCCTCACAGATTTTTATATACTCTTTTCTCTCCTCCACTCAGTCCCTGGGTTTATGAACTCCTTTTGAATTGTGCTCTCCTTGTGCTCTCCCTGTCCTCCCTGATGTTCACAGCACCTCCTGATTTAGATTAAACATCTCTGAATTTAATTAGCGTGCTCTTTACTCTCATTCAGATCATTAAATTGGTCCACTAGGAGCAGAGTGAAAGGATGAGCCTGGAGCAATGTATGCCCGTGCAGAGGATCAGACAAATGAGCAGCAATAAGCATTAACAGAGAAATTGTTAGCATCAATGCACTGCTTTCCTGGGGAGAGTGTTGATGGGATCTAAAGCCGGGCAAAATGATACATGAATGTTTAGTCTCAGGTGGCATTTTTTGCAGATAAATTTGGATTAAGCTGCAATAAATTCATGGTCCTGCCTGTTAAAGCTGTCAGCAAAGTGTGAGGAGTCCAGCCAAGATGTAATCCAAGAATGGATTAGCATCTCTCAGTCTCCCTGGGATAATGCAAACTAGAATCTAGCTGCGTTCCTGGGATGGAAGTAGGACATCTGAGTGATGGAATACAGTTTGTCATTTAAACACAAGCCTTGATTAAAGGTAGCTCTCAGGTTCTGGAGCAACATACACAGATGCACTGAAAAGCATCTGAACGGGACTGATAGAAGAGGTAGAGGCTGGAAGATTCTTCACTGGGATTTGTTTTTTGTGTTTTAGTCCTTTGGGGCCTGGCCAGGCTACTGCCAGTGCTAAGAGATCTATGCTGTGATCAAATTCTGTGACAATCAGTAGTTTACAAGAGCACATTTTTATGTTCAGCAAAACAGCAGGTGTCGTTTGTACCTTCTGTGTGCCTGTTACATGTTCCATTACTTGCGTTCTTCACAGACAGATCAATAGAACTATCGATCTGCTGAACACGTGTATTTGTTTTCTCTATCATTATCATAATAAGACTTGGCTGTCTTTATTGTTGTTTTTCTGTGCAATGTTTTTAATTTAAACTTCACTCAGGAGTTAAAACAGTAGCTAATTCGAGCTCATCTGTTTTCACTTAGTAGTTTTGAGCATCTATTTCGTGAATGAAAGCACATAACCTAACAGATAACCTCACGTGCCTCCTGATGTCTACAGGAAGTATTATCTCAAGTGCAGCACAAACAGTCCAATGTCAGCAGAATATAAAAATAGGGGCCACAGGGACATATTTCTAAGGATGCAGATCATGGCCTTGCCCTTTAAATATAAGCAAGAATAGTGAGAATATGAAGTCACACAAGAAAACCCCAATGCACCTGTTTTTATAGCCACCATCCATTATACCAAAGTCGCTCTTGCTTTTTGTTGGAGCTCTGTTTTTGTTTCCATTTGCTTTGGCAGCAGCAGACACTAACCCTATGGTTCAGGATTAGCAAAGGGAGAGAACTGGCTTAATCCTTTGTGTGGGGTGGAGGAATGAGGGTCCTAGAGGCCTGTGGAAGTAGTCAGTTAAAGAGGCATTATTCAAGGTAATATTAGAGGTGATATCACAGAGGCAAGGAAAGAACAGAAAGCTGTTCTGCGTGGTTGCCTGGTGGGAATGACCAAGGAGTGTGTTCTATGCTCCTTCACAGAAAGCTGTAGTTGAAGCCTGTGGCTTGTTAGAGGTTCAAGTGAGGGAAGCAATGGATTTTTTTTTTATTCTGTGGCTGTGATGAGGGAAGGGTTTGGCAGCAAATCGGCACATAGTAAAATTGCAAAGTGATGGAGACAAGACTGGCAACACAGAGTGAATTGAAGGAAACTTTACTTTAGGCTTAGACTGAAAATATGGAATGGAAGTTTTAACAGTCTCTTTTGTTTTTCTTCTAAAGTGGGTTGTTTTTCCCTCCAGAGATTCTGCAGAAGATGAGTAGAATGAATTTGCATGAGTAGCAAATGCTTCAGTTGCAAATTTAGAGGGCAAACTGTCTACTTATCTACAACTTATTCTACAACCAGCACTCCAGTTCCCATTCTTGGAGAGAAATTGTAAGGTTTCTGCACATCTCATTTCCTAACTTAGCATTGGAGGAAGCTTGCTAGGCTGAGAATTCAGTCTGCAGCACAACTGCAGCAAGAGGGAAGTGTGATGCATGCAGACAAGATGAAACAAGCTGAAGGCTTTCCACCTGCCTGTTATTAGCTTGCATTCTCAGGCAAAATCAAACCACTACCAACACCTAGAGACTTGCATCCTTCAACACTCCTCCCCAGATTTTTGGAGAGGCTGCACCTGACCTTTGTATGTGCTGACTCTAGACGTGCCAAGCAAGCAGTTCAGTAACCAGCTAAGTGGAAGTAATTATTTTAATTAGTGTAATTGGATTACACCAAAGTATTTCTGAGGACTGCTGTTCTGCTTCAAAGAAGTTGTTCAAACTGTCCTGGTTCCATGTCGCTCTTAAATCAACACGTTATGTAAGGGTTTAGTCAGGAAAGGGAGATTGGTTAGAAAAAATGCTCAATTTTCTTCAGAATTAGTATTTAATAACACAGTGAACGTTGTATAGACTGCAGTAAGTTTTACTAGGACAGAATACTGGTTTTTGTAAGCTATCATCATGTGTGCATTTCTTTCTCAGGAAGTCATAAGGTTATAGGTATTTTCTTAACCTCTGTTTCTTGCTTGTCATCAACAGCTGAAATCCCATCAGCATCAACTGTGGGCATCCAGAGCAAAGCAGCTGTTTCTGTGGGACCTCACCTTTTAGAAGGAACAGGTCATTGATCAGCTGTCTAAAATGCTGAATGTTCTCAGTCAGCTCGAATTATAGATAGCAGAGATTTGAATAAGACATGCCTGAAAATTGAGGTATTTTTCTTTTGTAGTGAAATGGTTGCATCTTGGAAGGTATTTCACTGCAACTGATTACATCTGCTTCCAATTAGCAGAGGAAATAACTAGCAAATCATCGGGGTTATTTCCTTCTGCAGCAGTTTTCTCAGGCAGTCTTCTATAACGTTATGTACTTGACAGCATGTTTTAGCACTGACACTTGGTATGACTGTTTCTACTCCTGAGAAGGAATGTGATTGTCACTAAGGAAACCTACCGAATACAGTTAATTAATTTACTGTAGCACAATCCATTATGTCTCAACAGATCAGAGTCTGCCACTTGTCCTTGGTGGCTGAGTTCCGTCAGCATCGACTGTGAGCAAACCCAGCAAAGGTTTAGCATTGGTTTCGTTTCTTGCCTTCTGTCTGTGCTGTTCATGTTGAGACTGAGTTTGACTTTCATGTGTGCAGTCCTTTTGTTCCTGTAGATCCTCTAATGGGTGACACAGCTAATACCTCCTGACCTCGGTGATGTCATACAGCTTACTCAAGTTCTACCTGAAAGGCAGTTTGCAATGGCCAGAGTAAACATTTGGTAATGATATGTAACTGGCTGGTGAAAATAAATCCCTGCTGGTTACTGAAGGAAACGCAACAGGGGAAACATGCTGGAGGAGTTGTAAGAATGGTTTATTCATACAGACATATGGTATTATATTAAACATGCTAAATTGGGTGTACTCTATGGCCTCTCCTTTTGTTATACCCTTAACAGTGAAGTGCACATGGTTTTAGAAGAGCGGAATGTTTTAAGCAAACATTGCTGACCTAGATTTTCAAAATGGGTGAGCTTGAGGACACTGCCTTCATTTCATGCCTCGTTAACTTAGCCTGTTCTTCAGTTTCTATGGAAACTACATCTTCTTTGGTGACAGATAGAAACTTTTGATGGTTCAAGTAAGTAGAAAGTAGCACGAGGCAGTAGGGCAGAGGATGTGTTACGGAGCTCTAATGGAAAAAGGCAATGAATGAACTCTGAACATAAACAAAAGAGTGATAGCAGAAGACCATAAATGTCAGTGCGGTGACAGCTAAGATGACTCAAGTTACTAAGGGATGTGAGAGCACAAACTTAACACAGCGTGACCCTGTTCTGATGGTTAACGCAGTTAAGCTGGGCTCAGGATGCAATAACAAATCAGTCTGACTTTTTTGTTACAGACGAATAAGCAGGGCTCCAACCCAAAATTTCAAATATGTTGGTGCTGAAGGAGTATTCACATTGCACTAAGACTGATTCTGCCTTGTACATAACACACCTGAACGCACATTTATGTTAAAGTGTTTTTTTTCCTCTGGTTGAATAAGCAAAGCCTATCTTTACAGTTTCAGACTAGAATTTTTTCCATTTTGCCTGAGAAAACTTTTCACTGAGAAGCATTTATTATACTTTTACATCTTACTAAGGTGCTCTCATAGTTTATAGGCCAAAAGTGATATCAGGCATTTAGATTCTTGTCACAACAAAGGATTTCAGCAGAGCCAGACAGAAAATTATGCAAACAGTTGGGCATTAGCTAGAGAACAGAGCTGGGGATGTGATTCTGGGCTTTACTGCCGTGGGATTTTGACAAGCTACCTGATAATATTCTCAAGCCTCTGTTTTCCAATCTGAAAAGCAGTATGATGACAACTTTCTTTTTATATGTAATTATTTAAGGTCTAGGAGTTGAAAGGTCTGTATATGTACTGCGGTTTGTCTTGAAGAAATTATTACTGGCCAAACAGTTGGACTAACTCAAGTCAGAGGCACTTGAGTGACAATGTGATTCAGCTATAAATTAACCCTACTCTTTTGCTTTCTGTCTTAAGAGCCTTTTATATCCTGAATTTAGAATGCATTGTAAACAGAGCTACATCAGCCTGCTGTGTTATTTCATGGATCATTCAGAGGTCACCTCCAGTTCCAGGGAGCCCTCTGCCCACTGAAACAAAACCCACAAACCTGAAGGGTAGTGTGAGGAGTTTGGGGCTGGATGCCATTTCTAATCTGTTCTGTCTGTACCAGAATGTGAGGTGTTTGGGGAGCTTGGCAGATGCCATGCCAGATCAGTTGCCCTTTTATTTCAGTGGCCAGACCCTTGTGCTTGTATTGGTTCATTCACTTATAAAGTTATCTGGGGCTAACTGGAGGCACACAGTAACAGAACTAGGACCAGACTGCCTGAGATAGTCTCGGGAAGAGGGTAACCTGCTTTAGGGAGAAGTTTCCTGCAGCCTTACACTGTCTGGCCTCACACTGCAAGGGTTTTTCCCTTGCCTATCCTTTGATGTAGTGCAGACAGGATATTTCAGGAGATTCTTGTTTTCGAGCTTTCAAAAGATCACAAGAACACAAAATAGTGCAGAGGTAAAAATAGCCTGCACTCATTTAATGTTAGTGAGTACACAGAATTGCAGAGTTACCTTTTCATAATTTCCATGGTTATTTGTTAAGCTCAGCTGCTGCATGCAGCCTTGAGGATCAGATGCTGGCTCTGCATCACTTAAGCTTAATTAAAACACTGTCGGGCTGATATATTAAAAATGATGCTGAAGTGGCTCTGGTACTGTAGCAATGCACCTAGATGTGAGAAGGAGAGAGACATGAAGGCACCATTAAGAGAATTGCTGGGCTGGGGGCACTGCAATGACCGTTAAGGTGCTCTCAGTGTACTTGCTGTCATGTATGTTTTTCTAACGTTCTGAATCAGCCATTTCTACCTGAGCACAGTCTTGGCTTGACTACTGCCCAGCATCCTCTGGCTGCTGGTGCTTCAACTTCTGCATTTGATTGGAAAAGGCAGATGTTCTGAGGAGCCATCCCTCCTTTCTGCGGGTGGGAACTGACAATGCTCAGAGTTCTTGGAAGTCAGGCATTAGGTGCAAGAGGATTGTGAAAGAGAACCTGGAACATGCTGTTTTACCAGACCTCCTCCCTGTCTTCAGCCTCATCCATAGGCTTCTAGAAGGGATCAGGAACCACACTGCACCCTTCCCAGCCCTGCGGGTGGGGGCAGTGGGATCTTGCAAGAGCAGGAATTGGTTTGCACCAACGCCTCCACGATGCAAACATCTACTGCCCAAAGGCTGTTTAGGAAGAACTCGGTCATGATTATAAGTGAATATCAAAAACATCTTATGACCAAGTATTATGAAATCAGCAGACCACAAGAAAAATAGCTGTAGTTGCTGGGGCAGATTCCTCCTTTGCTTTCATGTGACTGTATCTAATCTACCCTGGCCTGCCAAATTATTTGAAAGGATGTTAGTGTGTAAGCTCAGAACATAAATATTATAGAACCTCTCTGTATTTGCTAGTGGGGGTACAGTAAGGAAATCATACACCAGCAGGAGATTGGTGCTGGGAAGGTAGTTCACTGTTATGGCTCTTCAGAGGCAGAACTCGCTGTAATGATCTTGTCTGAGTTTTGAGAAGATTAAATCTAGGAAGCCTTTAGGAACTAGACAAGGCTTTTTTTATTATTATTAGTTCAGAGAAACAAGTACTTGCTATTAATGGGAGCTGCCTAACTTCATCACATCTGACAAGGAAAGAGTACCTGACCTTCTTTGTAAGACATGTAATGCAGAGATTATCCTTAATTATCCTCAATATTTGCCCTAGAAATTGTTCTGTGGAAGCTCCAGGCGTGCCTGAGGCTGTGGTGCTGGATGGGGTGCAGGGAGGAGTTCCCTTGGGCAGCCCCGGGAGGCAGTGTGTGCCCACAGCAGCTCAGATGGGCCTTGAGGTCAAAATCCCTCTTCTGCTTTCCACTCCGTGCTGAGATTAGTAACCAAGCGCTGAGCTTTGCCACAAATAACCCAATGCTATCACCTGATGTCTCGCTCCGGTCAAGCGCAAGGCAGGGACCAGGTCTGCCCTTCGCTCTCTTGTGCCACAGGGGATGAAGGCCAGTTCCTTGCGCCCGGCTCAAGGTCCAGGGGTGGGTGAGGAGGAAGAAGGAGTGCCATGTTTCCCCATACTCACCCTGCGAGTGGAGAGTCCAAGTAACAAGTGAGCAATCGCAGCTACCCCCAGGCAACTTGATCTGTCCTCAAAGCTTGTACATAGTGATTAATTATGTGATAAGGGCAGAAAATAGATGAGAAGAAAGCAATAGCTTTGTGGGGTCATTAACCATGTAAGTGTGTCCTTTACATGGCCCACACCTCTGATGTTCTTCAGCTGCCACAGACTTGTGTTCTCAGGACTCCACTGATACCAGGGTAAGACAGGGCCTTACCTATCTCTGAGATCTAAACTTTTGGACTTGGTGTTGCAATTCCTGATAAGCACACTGTATCTTGCCTTTCTTTTTCAGGTTGAGGTGGTTTTAGAGTAGGGCTGTTTACATCTGGCACTACGAAACACCCACTTAAGGGCCAAAGTGGATGGAAGGTGGGGACAGCCAGAAGTGAATGTCAGTTGCAATCATCACAGTGATGTCATCGTACTGATTGTAAAGATTACAGAGATAAGCAGATTTGTTACCTTTCTGAGAAGGTATTTCAGTCACTAAGGAGTATGGCTTGACACATTCAATTTCCTGGAGGTAGAGTCTTACCTGACAGTAGATCCACCCAACAAACATCTGTCTTCTCACGTAGCTGTGGTTGTTTTAGAAATGTCCTCTCCTAAGCCATCATGAAAGCATGTCCAGAATCCAGCCCTGTCTTCTGCAAGCAGAATCCCGGTCTGCAGAGCCACAAAAGACATTTTATTATGAGTTTACGTAACTTGAAATATTGAAGAAATAATAAAGGGGCCTAAAATCGGCAGTGGGGAAAACTTTGCAGTGTTACAAACCAGCCCTTCAGCACACAATTCTCCCCATCTTATGACCTTACAGGGCCAGCAAGCAATGCACAGCTCTATCAGTTTTTGTGATCTTTTGGACAACATAATGAGTTTACCAAGAAATAAAATATCACATCTTCAACCAGGCAGAGGTATTTTAGACCAGCTTTGACACAAACTTAAGATTCTCTGTGAACTCTGATTTTCACATGGAATTGTATGGTAGGAAAACAGGTGCCACTGCTCTGTGAGGAAATAAAGTTTAACTGAAGTTTAACTGGCTTAAGGTATTCAAGCTGTCCTTTCAGACCTGGAAATCAAAATCCAGCCGTCGACCAGCAATTGAAGTACAAGCTTTCAAGGGCAAGGGGAATTTCTTTGTCTTCCTAAAGCAATTGTTGTGTGCACTGAAGCATGAGGTGGTCTTATTGAGCTATTCAGTTTTTATTAAAATCCAGTAATTATACCCAAATCCACTGTTTTCCTCTTAAGGAGTTGACTGAACAATTTTACCAAAGCTTGCTTCTACCTACCAAGCTCACAGGGTAATTTTAATCAAGTTCTCCATGCCAAATTATTTTGCAGATTGTTTCTGCATGAAAGGTGTCATCACGTCCATCTGTGCCATGCCACCTGGGAGTTACCCATGGCTTTAATTTGGGAAGAAAGCAGGGAGCATAGGATTTCTTGAGGAAGCAAGGATTGCACTGTTCTGCATTCATGTGTTCTGGGATAAACAGAGCTGGGGCTGGAGTAGCCACACCTTAGGATGTGTTCTGGAAGCACCAGTGCTAGAGTAAATAAACACCATCTGGTAAGCCTTGGTGAGGGAGACGGAAGCAGAAGGCTTAAGAAAGGTACATTCTTCTCTTCTTAGTGCAGGGAAATTGCAAGGGGCACAGGGTTCCGAGATACCCTGCTGGGTCACCAGTTCAAATTCATCCTTTATCACTGTTTTCCCCCAAATAATTTCCCTCTTTACGCACGGTGCCACTGCACCATCCCATATCAGTGACTGGGACCTGCGAGAGCCCACTCCCCAGCGGTCCACACCAACTGCTTCACAGCTGACAGAGAGCACCTTCTCCTCCTCAGAAATTCAAACTGGATGATCGTGCAGGGACACGAGGGTCCGTCCACACGAGGAGTTGCTGTGGACCAGGACCATGCCACAAGCACTCGCTGCCCCTTGCTGTGCGTTAGCTCACAAACCCGAGACAACCCTCAAGGCAATCCCCTCAGATCAGCTCGATGTGCGTGCGCTGGCAAAGCATCGTGGATGCTTAGGCAACTCTTATCAGATCTCTGTTTATAAATACAAGATTTTGAATTTGGCTTGAGCGCCTAAGCTCACTAGCAGGCAGGCTCTGCACCACCACCAAACAAAAGCACAATAACAACGACCACGAACAATCGCTGTTTCACCTCTCCCACATTAGCTATTAATAATGTTAATTTACTTCCTTTGAGAGATACCATATGTTCCCCTTCCTGATCCCTCTACAGGCATAAGAAAAAACTAAGGAAATTAGAGAGACTCCATAACACTGATGGCAACATCCAATGTCTTATCAGGCTTCCTGTTGTTGGGAGTATTGTTTTCCTTTAAAGATTAATATTTACAATGGTTACTTAGTTATCTTAGTTCATTCGGTGGCCATTAAAGATTCCAGCCCTGAATGCAATGAATGAACCTCCTTTTATTTGTCCTTGATGACTTATTTGTCTTGTGCCTCATCTGGCTGAAAATCAAGGAAAATAATAATTGGGTTGGGCTTTTACTGCCATTTCATATGAGGGCTCAAAGTGCATATCTCTGTTTGTTTTAAATTGGGAGCCCTTACCCAACGCTTCTGCTGATGTATGCATATTTAAGAGTATATCTTTTGCGATTAGAAGCAAAGTTAAAATAGGTACTTTCCACTATTTTTTTTTTAAGTTGTACGTCTGGTTTTTGTGCTCTTTGGGAAGAAAATGAAGGTGTGCATGTCGCCCATGAGCGCAGCAGTAGCCTGGTGGGTTCACTGGAGAGTCTTGAGTGGAACAGAGGCAGCACCGTGTGCCTGGCTGCTGGGCATGGACTGAAGAATCATAGAATTATTGGAGGGCTTAGGTTGGCCGGGATGTTAAAGACCACGGAGCTCCAACCCCCTGCTGTGGGCTGGATGCCCCCACCAGCTCAGACTGCCCAGGGCCCCATCTAACCTGGCCTTGGGCACCTCCAGGGATGGGGCTAAAGAAGTAACATTCCCATCCAGTCTGGCTGTAGTTTTCTCCTCTGCATCAGCATGAGAGGTCATTCTCTGCAAGAGGAAAAGACACAAACATTTTTCTTTTTTCTTTTTTAATAAAAGCCCAAGCACAGATCATTGAGCGGTCCCTCAGTGTGATACAGATCATGGTCTCAATCTGGCCACCTGCTTCTGGAGCTGCAGAAGTATTTCTAGGCCTCTTCTGGGCATCAGGGATTTTGAGGTCACCTTGAGCTGTCCTGGTCCCCGTTAATGAGGAGCACAAAAATATCCTCGTATTCACAGGGGTCTTGGACCCAGCCCCGAAGAACAACAGCAGTGGCAACCATGGCCCACATTACAAATCATTGCATTGGAGATGTAAGCCACGTGCAGCACTGCAGCAGGGATGCACTGTGGGCACATGAACTGCTTTCAACCTACCATGTCTTCCTCTTCAGCGTGGATGAAGGATGCACCTTGCCTCCTCTGAAAGCTGAAGCCCCCATCAGCTCATAATCACCTCCCCTTAGAATGACTTAATTTCCATCTGTGTGCCCAGCCCACAAATGCACTGCTGCTGCTGACCCCCACACTGTCTCCCTCCCATGCAACCTTTCTCCCACAGCCTATCACTCTTTTCTCAGCTCAGATCCTCTGACCACAGAGCTCAGCACTGTGCCCAGCTCTGGCTGCAGCCCACAGGAGCACAGGGCTCTGCATGCAGTGACATGATGCTCATTTTGCAGAACGTCTGCATGCTCTGCTCGTGAACCATCAGTCCCTCACCAGCAAGCCCGTTCTCAGACACATTTGGCTCCCAGAGAAGGGATAATTTATAATTGTGACATTTCCAAGGTTTCTCTCTTTTTCTCTCCTCCTCCCAAATGGTTAAAAAAAAAAAAAAAGAAAAATAAAAAAAAAAGGAAAATGGGCCAAACCATCTGAGCTTTAACAGGGGGAGTGTGTGCTTCTGCTTTCTTTGCAGTCTGCTGTCTCATTCTGAAACTGCGCATTTGATGTGCTTTTATAATGAGTTCATTTGCACCCTGACAGATGTTTCTGATATGATAAGGAACGTGGCCCAGGAGCCAGCGGCGCTGTGGAGCCACTCGCGTTCCTCACCTGCATTGCAAATGAGCTATCGCTTTCTTATCAGTTAAAAAACATGAGCAACTGCACATGCAAATAATGTGCCACCGACTGCCAGCTGTTTGTGCCAATGACATTCTTCATAAAAGAATAGATCCCCCCCCATCATCTGTTCTCTTCCCTCTTGCAGAAAATCAGAAGTTCTTTTGCAAGCGCAGCAGAAGAGAATTTTCTCTTTAAGCTTCAGACAGAGCAGCGAAAATGTCACTTTAAAGTAATTATATATTAGCAAAAAAATAACTTCCATATTTGGCACAGGTAACAGTTGATTGTGGGGGGGTGGGAAAGTAATTCATTGTCCTATTTCTGCATATCTCTGTAGGCAAGTGTTGGTGCTGCTGTCTGTTTCTTAGGGATTCCTTTTTAAAGAGTTTGGTGTCTTTCAGTGTTTTCAGGGTTTCCATTCTGAATGCTGTGGAAGAATGTTACTCTGCTTAAAAAAAGCCTCTTCTTTCCCCCCATTTTCCCTTCTTTTTCCCCCTTTTCCCCTTTTTCTTCCTTTTCTTCCCTTTTTCCCCCTCTTTCCCTTCTTTCCCCTTTTTTCCCCTTCTCTCCTCTTCTTTTCCCTTTTTTCCTCTTTTTCCTTTTTTTTTTCTTTTCCCTTTGTTTTAAATCTGAGGGACAGTCCCACATCACCTTTGTCGTAAGGTTTCTCAAAGATTGGGTTTTAGCTTTCTTCTATTCAAAGTGAAGTTAAGAACACTCTTAGAATCTCAGACACAGAACCTTCATTACCAAATACTGCAATCAACAGAGCTTAAAAACACTGCAAGGTAAAATTGTTCTGGTAATTGCTTTGCTCATGTAAAATTGAAAAACACTTTTCAGCATTTTGCCAGCTACAGGCAGAGATGCATTTCTCTTGCAAATGACCTTCTGGGAGAGCCTGACTGCAGGGACATGATTCATTGGCAGCCTGCTGGTGACAGGCATGTTCCCATTGTTCTAAAAGTCTGGTTTCACATTTCTCCCGTTAGATAAGCTGCAACCATTAACTACACAGTGAGCTACAAACAAAGTGTGATGTAAGAATTCAGCTTATTATCTGATTGGCAGCGTGGGGCTGCTCTTCCAGGTTAAGGATTTGAGCAGATTTTTTTGACAAAACTGCCTTTTCTTGCAGTTCAGAAAGCATTGTCCTCCCAAAAGATGAAATATGCTTTTGGAAGCTGTGGTGTATATATAGTGAGTGAGCTATAAATAGTCTGGGGCTCGTTCTGCACAGCACCATGTGCACAAGTATTAAGGACTGATTCTGAACGTCGGTTACACTGAGATACGCCACTTAAATGCTGTGGCTTTTGGACTTGACTCAGGGAGTTGAGATTCACATCAAGATCAGAATCTGGTCAGGGGGTTTGAATGTGTTTTGAGGAACAAAGGAATTCAGTGGCCTTAGCTTAATCCTAGTTTTAGTTGGAGATTACATATCAATTTCAGGAGCTATTATTTGGGCCTAATACAAAGGCAAATGGATTCATTCCTAAATGAGGAACAGCTGACTATCATGCAAGC